AAGGAGTCTTTCAACAACAAACATTTTGTAGGTCCAGGTCTTTTGAGAATATCTGAACCTGCTTCTCATTTCCTGCTCTAGGCAAGCCCTCCTAGGGCAAGGCTCAACAAGAAAGCAAAAGCAGCCTTGCCTGAACTCCTCCTCCCCGGGATTTACAAAAATCCTTATGATTTAGAATTTCTTCTACCAAAAGGGATTGAGGATCATGGAGGAGAGCTTTCAGATCTCTTCTCTTCCCTGCCTTTTTCTTCTATACCACCTTCTTCCCAACTCCATTCGAGGATATTGCTAAAGAATAAGCCTTTGAAAAAACACAGTAGCTGTAGGGCTGAGACACACACCCATGCAACTGGTCTACCAAAGAACAACAACAGAACCATGTCAATCTTCTGGTAGCAAGTGGAAGAAATGAGAGATCCCTGAAGAATGTGAGTTATTACAATGTGCTGCTAAGTGTACAAAAAAAAAAAAAAAAATAAAATCAAAGAGACAGGAGGCTTCTTCCTCCCCTCAATATATTCACTCATACACTGTATGATTAGCAGAGTGTTATTTACACTCTGTGGTCTTGAGTAAAGCCATTCCAGTTTCCTTCTTAAGCCAGAAACCTTGACAAAACCCATGCCACTACAAGACAACCCGAGCTCACTCACAGAAGGACTGACATTCAAATACAAACATCTGTTTGACTCACTGGACTGCAGGGATCATTTTAGGTTGCAGGTCATGACATTGCTGGCTAGGGTTATTATAGCCAGCATCTTCCCTGCGAGCCAGCTCAGCTCAAGCAGAAGTGCATATACATGCTACTCAATGTACTGTACCTCCAGCCTCTGTATCAAATTCTAAAACTATTGCACACTCCTTGTCACAGCCCAAGCAATTATTACTGCTGAGAAACTGGGAGTTACATATTTCAAACTCTCCTGGATTTTTGGGGGAGGTGAGGACAAGCTTGTCTTATCTAGTCTAGACATTAGACACTATAATCATGCAGTAGTTTATTCTAAAGCATCAAATCTGTCTGTATTCATTATCTTCGTTTCATAACAGAAAGCCATGAGAGAGATGTTTCTCCTCACAAAAGCTTGGTGATGCCCAGGAAGAGCTGGCAACAGCAGTTAGCACACCCACATCAGCCATCTCCAGCAGAAATGTCTCCTCCCCATGCATCCCACTGCATGGGGAATGAATCCAAACAGTGAACAAACTTCAGAAGTTAGAGACAAATCACTTTTCCTTCAGTACAAAGCAGAAATCACTCAAGTGTCATTCAGGGACAGCTATGCACCTGACTCAGAAATAAACAGCAGTCTGTTGCTTACGGGTGCTTCTGGGATGTGGGAAAGTCCTGTTCAAGTCCCTCATGCAAACCAAGATTAGGACTACTCTCAGATTCAGCCCCGCACAAGTGTCCCCAGTTTGAGGATGCACTTTTTCAAAACAAACATTTCATTAAAGATTAAAAAAATAATCCTGATCATGTCTTACCACAATGCTTAAACAAGCACCCCCACTTTTTCTATTTCAATTCAGCAAAACCAGTCACCACAACAAAGAGGCTGGAGAAAGCATTTATTCAACATAAACAATATCAGCACAGTACAAACAGCACTTCTGGAAGGCGTAGCAAGCAGGCAGAGATACACTGGCATGTGCCTAGGAAGCCCAAGTGCTTGTCGTGCTCAAAGGGGAAAATCCCATCCTGGGCACCTCTATGGGCTGGCCATGTCCTCACACCAAATTCTCTGGCTGTGGCCATAGTACACTGAAACCACAGATGACACCAGGTTGTGCTGGCCTCTCAGACAGAGCCTTGCAAGGTGATCAAAGATGACCATGTGCACAAGACGGAGTGTGCAAGCTGCATTTTGGTCTCTTAAGGTGTGCGTGCCACCATGGTGCCTTCTCTTCACCTTCGCTCTGAAGACTCCAGAAGCACAAAGAGGTTGCATAGATCTTTGGCAAAAGTTCACACATGAGCACATCCATA